ACGGGTTAGTGAGAAAAAGCATGACGTCATCAGCATACATGCTCATTTTGAAATGTGAAACTAATAATGGGTACTGCTATTATATCTGACATGAAAACGTCTTGCGGTTGCAACAATGTATCTATTTGTATCCAAATAAAAACACCTGTATCTAAAATGGATACAAATAGATACATTGTTGCAACTGCAATACTTTTTCATGTCAAATATAATAGCGGAGCTCTCTGCAAGGGACAGAAATAATTAAATGCCGGCCGTAGACGAGACGAAAATCGTCCGATTTTTTTTTTGTACCATTGGTGGTAACGTCAGCCTATTGAACGACCGATTTTTTTTTTTTTTTTCTTTCAGAACGGCTGGTTTTCGACCCATCTATGGCCTGCATAAATTTGTTCTTTTTAAAAAAAATGTCCAACACGCCAGATCACTCAAATTCAATGGTTACACGAAAATCGGCTGTTTCTGTGACCCACTAAAGGTGCGAAATTTGAACGAAAATTCTTAGAAAATTTTCGAAAGAAAAAATTTTGGAATTTGATCTGTGTATGGCCGGCATTACAGCAGGCTGCTGCAGGACTCAGAAAGCCAGGGAAAGAGTCTAGACATAGTTAACCCCTTCCCATCCTAGGCAACCCGAACTAACTACAGAGTGCAATGAGTGCAACAACAGAAACGCTGTACCAGGGGCGGACTGACAACTCATGGGGTCCCCGTGCAATAGGGGATCATGGGGCCCCTGTGTCCTCGCCCACACTCAAACCACACCAAAAAAGCCTATGAAAGGTACCAATGGTGGACATCTCGTGGGGCCCCCTACTGACCCAGGGCCCTCGGGCAGTTGCCCGAGTTCCCCAATGGTGCCCCTGTGCTGTACATTCAATGACACCCCACAAGCACCTGCTTATCCATCTGTCCTGCGTGATAATCTATATCATCTGCAGAGGTAAATTTGCCATAGTCCAGTGAAAATTTGTCGAGGTTTGGTTCTGGTTTGTGGAGCAGCTCGGGAATGAAATGGCGCAGTCCTTCCTCTCGCATTTCTGGGCATCTTCCTCCCAATTCCCTGCAAAGCTGCTGTCAGGGTGAGTCGCATGGATTACACCGACATGATCCGTCCAAGATCTGGAATAGTCCCTGCCATTCCAGGAATTATGGAAAACAAGGGGAGGAACGAGGAGATTAAATATTTTTGGTACATAACCTTCGGCCCAATAAAAGCCCCCAACCTAAGTGTGCCGCAAGAAAAAATGCCTTCTACAGCCACAGTACATAAATGCACCAGCAGGTGGCAACAGAGCACCACTGTGTCTATCCTTGGGACTTCTTGGCTAAGGCTCCCGGCCCAGGGGTGTCACACTCAATTTCATGGTGGGCCGCATCAGCGTTATGGTTGCCCTGAAAGGGCTGGTTGTATCTGTAAGACTAGATGTCCATAGCACCCCACCCTCCCTTACATCACAGCGCAACCCCCCCCTTATTGCCAGGAAAAAGCTAGAGGCAGAGCTGGGAAGCAGAAGGCGCAGGGTCTAGAGGAGGACCAAAGGAGGGCTGGAGTCAGCTGCTGAAGTCTGCAGGGGAGGGTGGAGACAAGGGGGTGCAGGATCTGTAGGAGGAGTTCTGTCCTCCTCTCTGCTGTCAATTGCTGAGACCAAGGGTGAGGAGCTGCAGAAATGAGCCTCTTTGTGGCTGCATGGAGAAGAGCAGGATCTGGCAGAAGACATCCGTCCTCTCCTCTGTTGACTGCTGAGACAAGGTGGAGACGAGGGAGTGCCATAGCTGCAGGAGAGGTCTGAGGGCCACATGAAAAGGCCTGCAGGGCCGGATTTGGCCAATGGGCCTTGTGATTGACACCTGTGCTCTATATAGAAGGCCCCCCACATTGTGCTGCTGCCAGGAAAAAGCTAGAGAGGCGGAGCTGGGAAGCAGAAGGCGCAGGGTCTAGAGGAGGACCAAAGGAGGGCTGGAGTCAGCTGCTGAAGTCTGCAGGAGAGGTGGAGACAAGGGGGTGCTGCGGCTGCACAGAGATGTGCAGGATCTGTAGGAGGAGTTCTGTCCTCCTCTCTTCTTTCAATTGCTGAGACCAAGGGTGGGGAATTGCAGAAATGAGCCTCTTTTGTGGCTGCATAGAGAAGAGCAGGATCTGGCAGAAGACATCTGTCCTCTCCTCTGTTGATTGCTGAGGCATAGTGAAGACGAGGGAGTTCCATAGCTGCAGGAGAGGTCTGAGGGCCACATGAAATGGCCTGCAGGGCCAGATTTGGCCCTCAAACATGGTGTTTGACACCTGTGCTCTATATGGAAGGCTATACATAAATGGCCAAAACAACTGAAACCTCCTCTTTACAGCAGAGGCACATGCAGCCTTTCCTTTTCCATATGTGGAAGATATTATCAACCCTATCCCCTCACAACTCCTACAACCTCCCCTCCCCCTCCATCCTATGCTCCCTCACCCACATCTTTAATCTCTCCATGTGCCTTTCCACGCACATGAACTTTAATGGCCCCCCAGTCTTAGTCCGTAGGGTTCAATATTGAGTTGGCCCCGCCCTTTCCACACACATGACCTTTAATGGCCCCCCAGTCTTAGTCCGTAGGGTTCAATATTGAGTTGGCCCCGCCCTTTGCAACTATAACTCCAACTCTTCTGGGAAGACCGTCCACAAGGTTTAGGAGGGTGTCTATGGGAAGGTTGGACCATTCTTCCAGAAGCACATTTGTCAGGTCAGGCACTGATTATTATTATTATTATTATACAGTATTTATAAAGCGCCAATAGTTCACTCAGCGCTGTACATTACAAAGGGGGACAGAACATGTGACAGAACAATACCAATACAATGCAAAACATGAGGGGATCGAGGGCCCTGCTCTTTCGAGCTTACAATCTAGAAGGGATGGGATAGTGGTACAGGAGGAGATAGCTGTGGGGGGGAGTGGTAGGAAGAGTGGAGGAGGTCAGCAAGTTAGCAGGGGGTGGGGTAGGCTTCCCTGAAGAGATGGGTTTTCAGGGTGCGCCTAAAGGAGAGGAGAGTAGGTGATAATCTGATGGGTTGGGGCAGGGAGTTCCAGAGGATGGGTGACACCCTGGAGAAGTCCTGGAGGCGGGCATGGGAGGAGGAGACCAGGGAACTAGAGAGAAGGAGGTCTTGTGAGGAGCGGAGTGTGCGTGCTGGGCGGTACTTGGATATTAGGTCAGTGATGTAGTTCGGGGGCAGTATGGTGGACAGCTTTGTACGTCAGTGTTAGGATTTTAAATTTGATCCGTTGCGCAATCGGAAGCCAGTGGAGGGATTGGCAGAGGGGGTGGCGGAAATGGAGCGGTTGGAAAGGTGAATGAGTCTGGCAGCCGTATTCAGGATGGACTGAAGCGGGGATAGCCAGCGGCGAGGCAGGCCAGTGAGGAGGGAGTTGCAGTAGTCGAGTCGTGATATGATGAGGGAGTGGATGAGCTGTTTAGTAGTTTCTGGGGTTAGGAACGTGCGGATTTTGGCGATGTTGCGGAGGTGGAGTCTGCACGAGTTTGTTAAAGATTGGACTTGGGGCTGAAAGGATAGGTTGGAGTCCAGAATGACACCAAGTACAACTGGCCTGCAGAGCGGGTTTGATATTGGCGTTGTTGGATGTGATGTAGAAGTCAATGGGGGGTGGGGTTCGGGCTGGGGGGAAGACAAGGAGCTCGGTTTTGGAGAGATTCAGTTTAAGGAAGTGGAGCGACATCCAATCTGATATGTCGCTCAGTAGGTGTGTGATTTGGGCAGAGACCGAAGGGGTGAGGTGGGGGGTTGAGAGATAGATTTGTGTGTCGTCGGCATAGAGGTGGTAGTTGAAGCCGTGAGAGTGTATGAGTTGGCCAAGGGAGGAGGTGTAGATGGAGAAGAGAAGGGGCCCAAGGACAGAGCCTTGAGGGACCCCAACATAGAGGGGGAGTGAGGGGGAGGTGGGTAGCATTATAGGTAACGCTGAAAGAGCGTTGTGACAGGGAGGATGAGAGCCAGGAGAGAGCAGAATCTCTGAGGCCGAGGGAGTGTAGTATTTTGAGGAGGAGGGGGTGGTCAACCATTCTGTGTCAAAGGCCGCAGAGAGGTCAAGGAGTAGGAGCACTGATGTCGGGGGAGGAGGCCTGGCTCGCAGTCTCCACTCTAATTCATCCCAAAGGTGTTCTATAGGGTTGAGGTCAGGACTCTGTGCAGGACAGTCAAGTTCCTCCACCCCAAACTGGCTCCTCCATGTCTTTATGGACCTTGCTTTGTGCACTGGTGGGCAGTCATGTTGGAACAGGAAGGGGCCATCCCCAAACTCTTCCCACAAAGTTGGGAGCATAAAATTGTCCAAAATGTCGCCTTAAGAGTTCCCATCACTGGAACTAGGGGGCCAAGTCCACCCCCTGAAAAACAACCCCACACCATAATCCCCCCTCCACCCAAACTTTACACTTGGCACAATGCAGTCAGGCAAGTACCGTTCTCCTGGCAAACGCCAAACCCAGACACATCCATCAGATTGCCAGATAGAGAAGCGTGATTGGTCCCTCCAGAGAACACGCCTCCCCTGCTATAGAGTCCAGTGGCGGCATGCTTTACACCACAGCATCCAACGCTTTGCATTGCACTTGGTGATGGAAGGCTTGGATGCAGCTGCTCGGCCATGGAAACCCATTCCATGAAGCTCTCTACGCACTGTTGTTGGGCTCATCTGAAGGCCACACCAAGTTTGGAGGTCTTTAGCTATTGACTCTGCAGACAGTTGGTGACTTCTGCGCACTGTGCGCTTCAGCATGCGCTGACCCCGCCCTGTCATGTGACGTGGCCTACCACTTGGTGGCTGAGTGGCTGTTGTTCCCAGTTGCTTCCACTTTGTTATAATCCCACTAACAGTGAGCGTGGAATATTTAGTAGCCAGGAAATGTCACGGATGGACTTATTGCCCAGGTGGTCACCTATCACGGGACCACGCTTGGAGTCACTGAGCTCCTGAGAGCGACCCATTCTTTCACCAATGTTTGTAGAAGCCGTCTGCATGCCTAGGGGCTTGATTGTATACACCTGTGTCCATGGAGGGGATTGGAACACCTGAATCACATGATTGGGAGGGGATTGGAGCACCTGAATCACATGATTGGGAAGGGAATGGAACACCTGAATCACATGATATGGAGGGGATTGGAACACCTGAATCACATGATTGGGAGGGGATTGGAACACCTGAATCACATGATTGGGAGGGGATTGGAACACCTGAATCACATGATTGGGAGGGGAATCACATGATTGGAGGGGAATGGAACACCTGAATCATATGATATGGAGGGGATTGGAACACCTGAATCACATGATTTGGAGGGCGGGGCCAACACTTTTGGCAATATAGTGTGTGTGTATGTATATATATATATACACACACACACACATATATATAAAAACACCTGATGGTTGGATTGTGGTTGCCGTGGAGATGACAGAGGATTTGATACATTGAAACATTTTTTTTTTCGTTTGCAGTAATCCACCATTATGATGAGAAAAAGAAAAAAATTCAGCTTTTCTGAATTTTCTCCATAACAGAGAGATGGGGATTTGGGGTCTGAGAGGAGCAACAACCGAATGTGAGCAACACAGCAAAATCCATCCATTGCTTACACAAAAGTGTAAATGCGGACCAGCCAATCATTGGCCAATGCATTAGAATGCAAGTCAGAGAGAACCCACATCATTTCCTTGCTAGATATGGACCAGCATCATCTAGACCTTTCCTCCCCAGCTTGACTGTCTCTTTCCCACTTCTTTCATTCATTGGATTTTAGTTCTTTCAATCCTGGAAGCTCAGCATAACATGTGGGTGTTACCTAGGGCAGTCCGCATGCAAAGCGAAGCAGGGTGCTGTGCTGTTTTCTGGAAGTTATGTAAAGCGCCCTGCCAGCCCCTCCCACCAGCCATGATCTGCCTGTACTATAGAGAGAAGCACAGAGACCCAATAATGACATCACTGAGTCTAAAATAAGGTATGTAATGAAAACAGAAAGGCTGTATTTAAAAATATTGTTAGCATTTTCATGGAGGTATTTTAATGGAGGCACATAAAACTTCAACTTTCCAGGAAATCTAACTTTTTTTTTTTTCAGTTTCAGTTAATGCATGATAGAGGGGTTAGAAGCCATCTTGGTTTTTTGCTGTATGTGTCCTTGCTGGGGAGAGACATCCTTTCTGTTTGTCCTGGGGAAAGAAATGCAACATTTTACAGTTGTCACTAGAACAGCAGAAGTGGGGCAATTGTTCAATGGGGACATCTGTTCATATAGGAAACTCGTTCCTCAGAGTGCAGAAGATGAAGTCTGCAATGGGGTTGATTGACTAAAGGCAAATAGGTTGTGCACTGAAAGTGCAGTTGCTCTAGATCTGAGGGGAACATGAAAGGAAAATTAGAAAAAAAAAAAGTGTTTTTGCTTACACGTGATTGGATGAAAGAAATCAGCCGAGCTTCTCCTCATTTCATTTCCCTCGGATCTAAAGCGACTGGACTTGCAGTGCACAGTATATGTACCTTTAGTAAATCAACCCCATTGTGTTGAGTCCTGAGCTGAGTAGCCCACACCATAGTCCACAATGGTTATTGACGTCACACTACGACGGTGGAATGGTGGAATACAAGGACCAATATCAGAGTGTACAATGCATCACATAGAGCTGTATACAATGTACCATTGTATAGTGGCCTTTGCCATCAACAGTCATCAACTGTGGGCCAAGAAATGTCAGCTTTGGAGTGCTCCAGGGAGGGGGACACCAGGAGTGATGCGACTTCACTGCGATGGACTCATTGCAAGAAGAGACCATAAACCCACCAGATCATACATCCACCACACCTGGGCACCCACCAGCCCTGGACACCCACCAGACCTTACGTCCACCACACCTGGGCAACCACTGGACCTGGGCACTCACCAGACCATACATCCACCAGACCTGGGCACCCACCAGACCATAGACCCACCAGACCTGAGCACCCACTAGACCATACATTCACCACACCTGGAAACCCACCAGACCATACGTCCACCACACCTAGGCACCCACTAGACCATACATTCCACCACAACTGGGCACCCACCAGATCTTACATCCACCACACCTGGGCACCCACCAGATCATACATCCACCACAACTGGGCACCCACCAGATCATACATCCACCACAACTGGGCACCCACCAGCCCTGGAAACCCACCAGATCATACATCCACCACAACTGGGCACCCACCAGCCCTGGAAACCCACCAGATCATACATCCACCACACCATGGCACCCACCAGCCCTGGAAACCCACCAGACCATACATCCACCACACCTTGGCACCCACCAGCCCTGGAAACCCACCAGATCATACATCCACCACACTTTGGCGCACATCAGCCCTGGAAACCCACCAGACCATACATCCACCACACCTGGGCACCCACCAGCCCTGGAAACCCACCAGACCATACGTCCACCACACCTGGGCAGCCACCAGACCTGGGCACCGCCCAGACCATAGACCCACCAGACCTGAGCACCCACCAGACCATACATCCTTCACACATAGGCCCCCATCAGGCCTGGGCACCCACCAGACCATACACCCACCAGGCCTGGGAACCTACTAGACAAAACATTCACCCAACAGACCATACATCCACCAGACCTGGGCACCCACCAAATCATACACCCAACGGACCATACATCCACCAGACCTGGGTACTCACCACACCATAGACCCACCAGACCTGGGCACCCACCAGATCATACAACCTTTACACATAGGCCCCCATCAGGCCTGGGCACCCACCAGACCATACACCCGCCAGGCCTGGGAACCTACCAGACCAAACATTCACCACACCTGGTCACCCAACAGACCTGGGCACCCACCAGACCATACATCCACCCCACCTGGCCACCCACTGGGCCTGGGCACCTACCAAACCATACACCCAACAGACCATACACCCAACAGACCATATATCCACCAGACCTGGGCACCCACAAGACCTGATTACCAACCAGACCATGTACCTACCAGACCTGGGCACCCACCACACCATACACCCTACCAGACTAGGCACCCACCACACCATACACCTACCAGATCTGGGTGTGAGATGGGGAAACAGCTCTCATTGTTTGAACACTGATTTTGTGGAAGTAAATTAATGTTTTGACTGACATTCTGCAGTTTAGCCACAAGATGTCACTGTTTTTATAACACAGCCTCAGACTGCATAGATATTTGTATATTCATGAAGAGGTGGAGTTTTCACACAGAATTGGAGTGAACAGGAAGAGGAGACTGCAGCCATGTTTTGAATGGTGCTGAATGAAGGGGCCGTGTGAGTTGAGAATCCAATGACATCCAGGTGTGGGAGCTTCCCTCGGTAACCAGAGCTGCGGCTAAGTGGAAGCTGATCGTGTCCAAGACCCTGATCCTGTTCAGAGAAAGGAAGATTGCTGCCAGTAAACATGATGAGAGCAGAGGGACAACGCAGCATACACTGCAATATCGCAAGCTTGTTGGAGAGACATTTGTTCTGTTCAGAGTCACCAGCAGGATGCAAAGCAGACCCGGTTCGGTAAGATCGTGCACGCACCTCATTTCAATGTTGGCGCCTATAGACTGAGTCCAGGCCTATAGTTAGTTAGTTAGGGTCTCTGTTTGTGTCAGGCCACAAGTGTTGTTACTGATCATTGGAAGGACTCCACAACTTAAAGTGACATTTCACATTGGAGAACTGATAAAATCCTACAAACTCAAGCCAGACTGGCGTTTTGCTCAGAAGGAATACTCAGGCACATGCTACAGGACCAGTTATGGGAGGGGGAATACTGTAGATTTGTGTAAGATTGTAAGCTGTTGTGCTGCACCGCAGGCTAGCCCATACCGTACACCCATACACTGATTCCTGCTCTTTTAGGGTAATAACGGGTAATGTGTGGCATTTTAGTTGTGCCCGCCAGTAGGTAAATTACTACACTTTCTACCTTCATCCATCAGGAGGCGCCGTGCTGTTGTCAGGGCTCTGGGTATGACCAGAGGTGTGTGGACTGACACAGGGAAACGCAGGCTTCAGATATGGTATAAACAATATGATTTATTAAGACTAACAATACAAAACGCAGTGCAATACTAAACATAAACACAGTGCAAACAAACCAAACCACCCACAGATAACAATACATACAATGCAAGGGTTGTCAGGCAGGCCGGGTCAGTAGCAAACGGAGTACCAGGAACAGGCGGGAGAGTGGTCGGGGTCATAAGCTGGGTTCAGTAACTCAAGGGCAGCGCGGTGCAGAGGGTCAGGCAGAGAATGGTCAGGGTCACAAGCCAGGGATCAAACAGGAGAAGTCAGCAGAGGTCAGGATCAGGCAGGGTCGGCAACAAGTCAGGCAGGAACAGGAACAGGGACACAGGATACAAGATACAGGGGCCCATGGAAAAACACACACCAAGGCCCTGACTGTGAGTCTGGCCATTCCTTAAATACAACCCCCGCAATCAGCTTCAGGTGTTTGGTCTGACTGCAGGGGTGAGTCTCTGATTGTTGAGAGCACCCGCTGGCCAGCCCTGGTACTGCAGCCCACAAGGCAGGTGAGTCCCACCATTATTGGCAAGTCATTCCTGACAGCTGTGCAGCACAAGGGTCTCAGCCTTTGGGCTGGGTGTATGTAAATTTATTGTATGTTCCCAGCATTTGTGGTTGCGTTTATTTGCCACATCTAAGTAAAATTCTGTTGTGGCAAAAGCTGGTGTTGGGGTTGCTTTCCTTGTTCGTGACTTCACTGTATTCTGGGGAGCCCACCTCGGTACACGGCTTACATGGGCACACACCATACATCCACCAGATCTGGGCACACACCATACATCCACCAGATCTGGGCACACACCATACATCCACCAGACCTGGACAGCATGCAATGATGGCTGCATGGTCATCTTTAACACTGGGACATTACAAGATCTCGGAGGAGATCCCTAGAAGTCTGGTGGCTTTTATGATGGTCAAGTTGGTCCAAAGACGTACTGAGCAGGGATTTCTATTTTTCTTGCCACACAGCATGTAATCATTTTTGAACACTGGCCATGCGTTGCGGAGATTTCCTGGGCATGTGACTTGGCGTTCCTTTCGCTACACAAAGCATGACACATCCGCGCGTATTACAGTCGCCTCCGGGTGACTCATCACTTTCAGACTCAGAAGTTTTTCCCACTATTTTGCGCAAAATCTTAAAATAGAAATTTCCATGTGTGGAAAATGCTTTACTGAGAATGAAAATAGAGATTCTGACACAGCCAGCCACCTATAGGACTTCTACTATTATGATAGGCCTACAGAGAGGGGGATCAGCCCTGAGCAGTGATTGGTGTGGGAAGGCTCTTGGGGGTGGAGCTTGACCTGTGCCACAAAAATTGGGAAGTATGAGAGCTGGTTGCCCGAGCTGTGCAGGG